GCATATCTCATCCTCTCAATCATACTTCCTTACGGACTTACGCAGTCTCGGTCAGGGCTTTCTTGGAGGTCATTGGGCGTTGATGATCAGAGCCTAACTTTAACCTTTTGATAACTCTGATTTAGGACCGGTATTGCGTATAGACGCTAACACACACACACGCATACACTCGAGCAAAAGTAGCAGGACAAGTATGAAAAATAATTAGCAAAACCACTCTATATCCATCTAGGTTTTTAATTTTTTAATTTCTTTTGGTTCAGCTTAGTCTATATAAAAGGTAAGAAAAGCCGGATAGTCTTCTTGGCTTAGTTTTAACGTGAGACGTCTACAAGAATGATGGACGAAAGTTCAGCACTTTTTCACCCGAAACGAGGGAGCAAGTCTCGTGGACTGCGTCAACATGGCTGCAGTACAGCGAGTTTCATCAGTCCTCTTCCGTCGAGATCGACCTACGAAGCTCTTCTTCATGCACTTTCATACGAAATGAAGGTTCCCCTAACAATGTTATCTGAGGAGATTCATTGAAACCCAGTTTTTCTTCGTATATACAGACTCAGGCAGGGATGCCTCCTCGGGGTGTCTCCTGGAGTTGCGTAATGCAACATGACAAAATGAAGACAAGATTCGGTATCAGGGCTGGCAAGCATTACACATTTGCGTCCACATGACGAGGCGCATGTCGTTGAGATTGGGGAAAAGTAACCAGAAAACGTGCGGCTGATGATGTCCATCATCAGCACGAAACGAGGGAGTAAGTCTCGTGGACTGCGTCAACGTGAAAATCGTATAAAATCCAACCGGCTTCATCCGTCCTCATCTGGTCAGATCGAGCGATGAATCTCTTCTTCATGCACTTTCATACCAAATGAAGGTCCCCCTGACAATACTCCATCTTTTGCAAAAGGATGAACAGTCACTGTTGCCGTTTCGTGTGCCGTTGTCTGCTTGCACAGCAGATCATTTGGTGCGTGAATGCAATTAGACTCATTCGTACCGTTTGAGGCGAAGAGTGGACAAGAAGTCTGCTTCCTGCTTGACTCCGTTTTGCATTCGGACTCGGAAATAGAAGAGAGAAAGAGAGAGGTCTGAATGTGCCAACAAGTTAACCCTGGCGATCTGGACCTCCGGAACAAAGATGGCATCATCGAGGATACAAGAGAGAGAGAGAGAGAGAGAGAGCAAAACAGGGCATTCATGATTTATTTCTGCGCTGTTGGCCTAATCACCGTTTGTGCCCAAGTTGTCTTGGTTGGTCCCAGACTCTACGGTTGCTAGGCTCGTGGACCACGCTGATGGTATTGACATTCGGCCGGAAGAGGCAGTCTTTAGATGGCAAATGTGGCCACTTGGGTTGGGCGCCCAATCAGGGATGAAGGAAGAGTGTGTTACGAGTATGAATCCATGGCCGAAATCACACTCACTGCTCGAGGGGGACCGATTAGTGTACATTTATCCACTCGAAATGGAAACTCGCCTCTCTCCACGGCGCGCCAGTGACTGGCTTTTCATTCTACCCTTTCGTGTGCATTTTCAGTTGGGAAACGACGCCAGAAGAAATAAATCACAAAACGCACAGTCTGGCGAGTGTGTTCCGGCCAACCTCTGTCTGGGGTGGAATTGTCCAAGAGTTGTGTGGGACCATTTTGGCCTGGCAACCTCCGCGTTGCCGGGACGTGAGAGACTTTGCCGTCGACCAACAAGTCTTGTCTTTCTTCGTTGCTAGCCCGACTTGGCCGAGGGTGTCGAGTGATCTGCCGTCGGAGGACAGAACTTCGCTATCTCTCTCTCTCTCTCTCTCTCTCTCTCTCTTCCAGAACGAGCGAACCTCCGGAAGGAGGTAGAGGCCCTGCAGCTGCCTGGTAACTCGGGTTCGGGCGAATCCTTTTCTTT